CCTACCAATCCAGGTTCAGGGAGCGCTACAGCGGCTGACACGCGTTTGCGATGTTGTCGCGGTGCAACAAGCCTGGGCAATTTGATGCGACCTCACCAGACCTCACCCTAAAATGTGGTTTATATAGGGAATAGCACCAAAATTGCCTTAAATTGGGAATTGAAATGATTCTAAATTACCCTGCACAAGCATGTTGTTGAATGGTGGGGGGTGGTCAACCCTAAATTGTGCTGAGGGCTGGACGACCATCAAAATGCAACTGATCAAGATGTACTACGCGCCTTGCTGCCCTCGCCCACACAGTCCATGTAGGTACATTGTATATACTTAGGGCCTAAAAGTTTTTGTTTTTTTTTCTTTCTTTTCATTTTTTTGCCAGCATCATTTGTTGCTTCTGCATTTTTCCAGAAGGACGGCTTGGCTTCGATGGATGACACGCTATTAACTTGTATAACTACCATACTGTTGTAACTACTACTACCGGGAGAGAAGTTTCATTCGCCTGGGCTCTGCTGCTGCGTTCGGATCAAGCACCCTTGGCTTTCAAGTTCTGCAGGAGCCTAAGACCTAGCCTCTTTAGGGTTTCAGGAACGGCTGAAAAGTGATGGCTTGACGGTTGAAGTGAGCTATACTCTCAACTCCTTACAAAGCCCGTCGAAGAAGCAGGACCATTGAAGCCAAGAAGCATACTGACAGGTTTGCTCTGCAAGCTTTCAGGTTTGCTTCATGCGTGGCGTGGTCAATTTGTGGATTAATGCCATGCATCCACTGCAAGTTCCCCAAAGCATAGCTGAAACAGTGCCATGGCGTTGCGCTTCAGCAGCTTTCGCTCTGCCGCACGGAGGCTAAGGCACCCGGCTACTTGGAGGTTCATGGGATTTCGTAGTAGGTTTTATGTAGATATGTGGAATTGGAAAGAAATCGAAGCTACCATTGCTATAGTATTTGGGGTTCAGAAGCTTACTCATGCATGTTACTTGGAGGTCTCGGGACTGGATTGCAACGATGCTTGTGACTCCCCCATAAGGCCATCAAAGGTGACAAAAAGTTGGATCATCAGCCCAGAGTTTTGAGTCTAGGGCCAGTAGGAAGCAGTTACAAAGCCCAGTATAGGGTGATGCCAACCAAGAATGAACCTTAAATCCATTCCCCGGCGCGACGTTTCGCTTTCTTGATGCAGCGCAGAAGGCAGTTTGCAGTGTGCAGGTCCTTGCAGATGCCCGTAGCCCCTCAGCCCATCTAAATTTCAAAGCCCCTAAACTGCGTGGGTTCAGGGTTTACGGAATATCTGAACCATGAGGGCGTGCTGCAGTCATGTCTGTTGCCAGAATTTCAGGAGTAAAGATAGTATTAGTTTTCACATTGATAAAGAGGCCAGAATTTCAACAGTGATAATAATCGTACTCGCTTTTGAAAAGAATAACCGCAACTAAGAATCATGATTAAGGATGAATCATAGTAAGCCCCTAAATCCTAAACCCCAGTGGCCCAGTGTCTAGCAAGCCTGAGTTTGCCGCATTGGTTGGGATACATCGGGATATGTGGTTTAGGGTTTTGGGTTCAGCGATTTTGGGGATAGAGGTATATGTTGGAACATGCAGCAGATATAGACACAAGGGTATAGGTCTGTGTAGGGATCTATAAGGGATATCAGTATATGTAGGCGTACTGAGGAGATATAGGAATGTATAGAAAGAGAGAGAAGGGGATTTATAGGAGATTTAGGCATGCGTTGGAATATTTAGGAGATGCAAAGATGTAAAGTAGTTTCCCACAATAAGTGGACCCCAATATAGTCCCCCAAATACTATACTCCTTATCATTGGGACCCCCAAAAGGGTACCCCTAATTTCAGGAAACCTCCATATACATACAATCCTCCCTAAACCCTAAACCCTAAACCCTAAAGGATGGGAAACCCCATACAGGGGGGGGTGTTGCAAGGAGCCTCCACTTTGTTCCTGGTGGCTCGAAGAAATTCCTCGAGATCCTTTTCGGCCTCAGTTGCAAGGATTTAGGGGTTTAGGGTTTAGGGAAAAAGTTAAAGATTTAGAGTTCAGGTTTTGGGGTTTAGTGCTGTATGGGTTCTAGAGTTTGATTGCAAGGTTCAGGCGTATGTTTCTCGATCTGCTGATAAGACAAGAGGTGTCAAACATTTGGATGGAAATCCGGACCCAAAAAACAATTCAAAAAACACATCAGAATGAAATCAAAGTAGAAGCGAGAAACAGTCGAACCAACATAAAAGGACGCCTGAAGAAGGCCAAAAATGAAACCAGAAATCGACCCAACATCGCAAACTGTCAAAAGCAAACCGACAAGAAACACATGGAACAACACAATCAATAGCAACCAAGCAAACCGAAAGCCTGCTCGAGGTTATCTCGAATTTTCTTGTTGTTATTTCCAATTCAACCGGCCAGCCGAAAGGTTGAGCGGCTTTTTCGATTTTATTTCTACTTGTTTGATAGTCATTTCGATCTTTGGATTTTCCAATTTTTTTGCGATGTTAACACGGCTCTGTCTTGTTCAGGAGTGAGAAACACAACTTTAGGGCATTGCCACTGTGCCCGCTGTTTCTCAGAGAAAGGTTCTCTCAGATTCACGTTTGGGGGGGAGTCAAATATTTGCATAAGAGGGATCATACATACTTGTTTATATATACATGCACATATATCTATCTGTAAACATATATATATATATGTTATATGTGCTAGGGCCGCACCCAAAAAGTCGAAATACATTTCCATGGCAGCCGAAGTTATTGTACCCGTTTATGGTTATGGGTTTAAGGTTTTTGTTAAATGAAATGTAGCATTTCAAACCCAGCCAAATCTAGTCACATAACTTACCCAATTTGATTAGTTTCGTTCATTGGATAGAACTAATAATTTTGCATGCCGATCATTTGGACTAGCAAGACTAGTTTCTGGCCTTGACGTCCGAATATCCAGAAAAAAGGTGGGCGGTGGAATAGCTGGAAAAACCCAAAGGTTTCAAATGAGCTATAGTCCTTACAGGGGGTTGTATAAGGCATTGTATAGGAGAATACTATAGGGGTTACTAAGAAGGATACTAGGAGTCCAGACTACTGCTCAGCTCAAATATTTTTGTGGTGCGGCCAATGTGTTGTAATCCTGGCTTTAATCACTTTAAGCAATGTTGTTGCTAGCTTTTGCGAAGCATTGGGCTTGTCATGTTTTCCGAGCACCTTCTGAAAAAGCACCGGGCTAGCAAAAGCCATGGAGTCTCCCAGATTTCCAGACTGAAAGCTGGGCCGACGGAGGCTGTGAGTAGTCTGGGAAATGATGAATTTTGCCTTTTCTGTTGGCCAGGTCAGTTTTGTTTTTTTAGCAGTGCTTAGCAAGATACATTGGAAAGTGAGTATTTCGCAAAGTAGGGGTGCCAAAACGGTTGGACACAGCAATGTTTAGCAAGGTAGTGCTATCAGAAACTTTGGAAAGCTATGTTTGGTAACAGCGGCGGAAAATCCGATGCCCTTGAGGGCAGTGACTACGAAATCCTGGAAGTGACTGGAAGTGTCAGTCAAATCCACGAAGCCCATGATGTGCCAGACTGCTTGCAGGCCTGCAGGGGGTGCTTACCATACATTTATACACGTGCACATATGGAGCCTTGCAAAAATGAGGGGTCCCTTTATGGAAGCTATGTTGAGGATTACTGTAATTTCAGGGGACGCCCATTTAGAAAACGACCATATTTAGGGAATTGGATCACAAGATATCATATACAGTTATTTTCTGCTACAAGTGGCAGCAGCTCTGTAACCCTAAGCCCTAAGCCCCAGCCTAAACCCTAAGCCCTAAAGCATTCAGCCGGGCAGTGCCGAGGAAAGCCCTTGCTTCGCGGGCAGACGCGTTGATCATTGATCTTGAGGTCCCTCAGCCTCCAGGGTCGAATTCTACATGCACAAGGTTTAGGGGTCCAAATAGCCCAATGTAGGCAATTTGCAGACTTTAGGGCCTCATGTTGGCATTATTTATGTACTTGGATCCATAGGACAAGGTTTAGGCTTTGTGGGGGTCTGAATTGCTTCACTCCACAGCAGGATGCATTGCTCGTTTTTGCATAGTGCCGGTACGCTCGTGTGGGAAGCGAGGAGTTCATATCCGGACTGTTTCGGGAGACCAAGTTTAGCAGAGTCGGGAGAACAGCAGACATTCGCAAAACAGTCCTCAAGGGTTCAAGTCCCCAATAGTTGAAGACTTGGGATTTGAAAAGCAGTTGCAGGACAGGTGTTCCCAGAGGCCCGTGGCTATATATGCTTGGGCAAGTATGTAGATTGGAGGCCTTTTGGGCCTTAAGTATAGGCCGACAATATCCCTACATGCAAAGACCCTTTGGTTTGGTGACGTTTCCTGGAAGTTGGACGCTGTTGCAGGCCTCAGACATCCTCAGACCCTAAACCCTACACCCTAAAACAACTTAAACCTTAAATCCTAAACCCTATACCTTAAACCCTAACAGGATTCCGTCCTCCCTGCTGAGAAAGCTTCTGCGAGGCTGGATTTTCTAGACCCCGAGTTGGAGTTGTGTCAAATCTTGGGACTATACCTGCCATATGGCTAAAAGGCAGTCCTAATATGTGGGGCTGGATTTGCCAAAAGCCTGACCAGCATGCCCGCATGTGGCAAGGTGGGGCGTCGATGATGAGTGCAATATGGGCAGGCGACAACTAGCAGATAACATAGCATATCATATGAGCTACTGTCAATATACGGCTTATTAAGGGACCATTAAGCAGAGACATAGGGGTCTCTCTTGTACTTTATAGTCCATAATATAGTCCCTACTAAGGAACCCATGTCCATTGGTTTTCATGTGAAAGCTGACTGTAGCTCTTTTGTTGAATAATATAGATTCACAAAACGGGACCTAATTTTTTGGACACGCCCAAAATCTGTCGTTTCCACACGGCACACCACTCTTACAAGTCATCCCTGCAACTCCGCTTTGCCAGGGAAGAGGTCAGCAAGTGGATGACATCCACCCAATGGGGCAGCAAGACTGTGTGCGTTCGGATCAATCCTATGGATACGCCACTTTGGGAAGCGGATGTTACCTCCACGCTGAAGCTGGACTCTTGGCTGTGAGGCATCGAAATGATAGCAATTTTCCCGTCTTCAGCGTGATGGTTACTACTGGCACCTAAATAACTACCGATCATGGTTGAAGTGCCCTGTGCCATTAGCATGCCAGGGATGTAGAACCACAGCTTATACATGTTGCTAATTACTTTGGCCTCTAGACGAGCACGTCCTGATGCATTACCTCGGAAGTTCTAACGCTTCAGCCTGCTCATGTCCCCTTGGAAGTTACGCTTTAGGGGTTTAGGGGTTAGGGTTTTGGGCGGCAAAGGGGAATCAATACGTGCAAGCGTGGACATCTTGCTCTCCACATGTCCACCTAAACCTTAAACTTCAAACCCCTGACTATGCTCAGGAAAAGCCTGATATGCTCGTGGTGCCCAAAGTCTCCAGTCCGGCGGACCTTGACAAGCTCGCTGCCAAACTGGCCGAACCTTCACCCAGATAAGGGTTCTGGGGTTTGCCTTAAGCCTAAACCCCTTTTAGGGTTTAGCGTGTGGGTTTTTCTGGGTGGGCATTAATTATGGGGTGTACAGAGGTCAGAGAAGGGTTGATAGACGGATACATAGGGATCATTCAGGGAATTTACCCCAATGACGGAGAATCAAATGGAAAAGACAATGGAACATGACATGGAGATTGCCAAAGGTTTTAGAGTTTGGGATATTTCCCAGATAATGAAGCATCAAATGGAAAAGGAAGTAGAACATGACCTGGAATTTGGGCTAGTAAAGGGTTATAGTCTATTGGGCTCTATGTTAAGGTCCACCTATCGCCATGTATGAAAACGATCGTTTTCTCAACTACCTGAATGTGCATGGGATTTGGCAACTAGGTATAACTGGGTTATTTTGGTGCTTACAATTTGTGCAAACACTAAACACTAAACCCGCAAGGCCATGTAGTAAGGTTATAAGTATGGTTACATTTCCAAGTGTGAGCGCTGATCAGTTCCCATGGACCTCTAAGCAAAGTCCCGAATATAGAGTAAGGGTGTATCCTCCTTTGATCTCCTTTGCATTCTACTGTTTTAGCATAAGAGGAATTTGGTTCACCACAAAAGCGCTACCCACCTAGTGGCCTAGTCTCAACCAGGTGGGTTTAGGTTCCTGCAAAGCATGCACCACAAATTCAGGGCCTTCTTAGGATTATTGGGCACTGCTAGGGCGTAGTAGGCCGTATTAGTTTGGGGGAGAGGGGATGGATGATGGTAGTATTGTGACCCTGTGGTTTATTTTTTCACCACCTTTTTTTATGGTTGGTGGGTTGTGTTTTTTACAAAAAACCCTAACCCTAAACCTAAACCGCGGGGCTAGCAGCTGTTTGGATAGTCTGGGTTGCGGCCTCGACCAGCAGCGTGTGTTTCTAAATAAGCTGGGTTGCTGTTAAGAAACTTAAGCTGGGTATATATAGCAATTACTAGGCTTTCCCCAATATGACCCAATAGGGTAAACAAATAAGCTGGGGAACTTAAATTGAATTACCACAATGGGCACATATACAGTAATTGGTTTCCCCAAAGTTCCTTAACAGTAACCCAGCAAAGGCATTGCAGCACTAGGATTGAAAACGCTCCAGTTACAGTCAGGTCATGACCTATTTCCTTTATAGCTACTATCAGAGATAGCACCCGTGTTTCATAATACGCCCACCCATCCCCTACACCCTCCATCCCTGAATCATCTCAGGTTGAAGTTCATCTTCCAGTTCCTGGGGTATCTCTACAAATCCTATAATCGCAGTTTCCATTAATCTTCCATTTTCTTTTCCATGTGACCCTGCATACATAATTGCCTACCTAGTTGCAACGCACCAGAAAGCCCAATATTCTTGATTCAGGAATATACGTTAAATCATATTGGGATCCCTATTATGGTTAGAGGAATATTCGTCAAGCAAGGGGTATTGGGTTCCCCTATAGCCCCAAACGCCCTAAACCCTAACAAGCCCCAAACCCTAAACCCCAAACCCCAGGAATATTCCTCAAGCAAGGGGTATTGGGCTCCCTGTGACCCAAGGAGTTGGAGAAGCAGCTCGGAAGAGAGGCGCTACTGCAGGAATTCAAGTTGCTGTTGATGGAGTATCTTGGGTTGGGCCCCCACCCACTAATAGTGGTGTATAAGGAATATATAGGGATCCTGATACAATCCTGTTTGCGGGGTTTAGGGTTTCTAAAAGGAGTATCAGTTAGCGTGCATCATGTCCCAAATACCCGGATACAAGCAAGCCATGCTAAGCTACTGTTCAATGACCTGCTGCCCTTAAGCCTAAACCGCGCCAATTGAAGCGAGTAGGAACCGCGGGAAGCATTTAAGAGTGGGCATGTTAGTCCCTTACCAGGAGATCCCATCCCAGAATATCTAAATGCTTGGATTGTTAATGGTTTCTGGTCTACGCAACAGGTTATGCTGTTTGGACCAACTTCCATTAGGTTGGTGCGACGACCGTGCTCCCCATCGTCAGCGAAGTGCCTGAGGCGTCGAGGAATCAGTTTCACGCAAGCCTGTGTTCATAATCCTCTCTTTTGTAGCGTGACCCCCACCAGCCCTTGCCCCCCCAATACACAGTACATGTTCCCCTTTATAGACATCGCCCCTTAATCTATGATGGTAATATGCTGAGTGGGAGATGTTTATGAAGGGTGGGCAGGGGGGGG